GGTGGTTAAATCAGTATAGTTAGCTTATTAATCATTACAATATGGAGTCCGTTGACCAATTCCTTATTGGCCCCCTTCCTCTCCCCCACCCTTCCCCTTTTCCACCTCTAGTTTTCTAAAAGTTTAATGTATTACTGTGATTGTTGTTTCTCTCTTTCTTTCTGTCTCTATTGTTGATTTGTTTATTTATAGATTCAGCTCCCAGTTATGAGTGAGAACCTGCAGTATTTCTCTTTATGTACTTGGAAACTATTTTGCCTCCTGCCTTTCTTTCTTTCTTTTTTTTTTTTTTTTTGTCTTTTTTTGTCTTTTTTCCGTGTCCGGCAACGGATCGCAACCCTCAGTGTTGCCCCCGTACCGGACCGGGGACCGGCAACGGGATCGCAAGCCTCGGTGTTGCTCCCGCGCCTCGCTCAGCCAGTGAGCGGGAGCCGGTCTGTATATGGGATCCGAACCCTCGGACGGGAGCGCCACCGCGCTTCCCAAGCGGCGCACTATCCAGTGCGCCACCGGGCCGGCCCCAGCATTGAATTTTTGAATATAGCTATCTTAGTTTGGCCTGCTGTAACAGATTACCATAGACTGGGTGGCTTAAACAACAGAAATTTATTTCTCATGGCTTTGGAGGCTGGGAAGTCCAAGATCAAGGTGCTAGCAGATCCTGTGTCTGGTAAGGTCTCTTCCTAGTTTGCAAATGGTGGTATTCTTGTTTTCTCACGTGGGAGAGAGGGCAGCCAGCAAGGTCTCTACTTGAAGGGACACTAATCTCATTCATAACTTCACCCTGTTGACCTCATTACTCTCCAAAGGCCCCACTTCCTAATACAATTACATTTGGTGGGGTTAGGATTTGGTGGTGTGGGGGACGGGTGGTGCACATTCAGTCCAAAACAATGACCAAAGCTATGTTTTTCATAATAACTAAATTTTATGTTTGGGGCTTCTTTTTAGGTTTAGCATGAGCTTTAACAGACATAATCTGAAATACTATGTATTACCGAAAAAGCCTAAAAAGGTGGCATTTGATTGCTTAGAATGGATCAGAAAGCATCACCCATGTGAGTACAGCCATGTGATGAAGTTTGTCTAGCAGTAATAGATAAATGTCTTTTTAGTACCACAATAGGATATATAAAAATTGCCTACTAAACATTCATTTCTTTTTGCATTATAATAGCGCTAACTTGATATTTATTGAGCAAAATATTGCAACTCTCGGGCCAGCCCGGTGGCGCACTGGAGAATGCGCCGCTTGGGAGTGCGGCGGCGCTCCCGCCGAGGGTTCGGATCCCATGTGGAGACCGGTTCCCGCTCACTGGCTGAGTGCGGTGCGGGCACAACACCGAGGGTTGCGATCCCGTTACCAGTCAGTAAAAAAGACAAAAAAGGAAAAAATATATATATATTGCAACTCTCATAATTCTGGAAATTGTAAAATCTCATTTGGTTCGATAACAATAAATTCTAATAAAAATATATATTAAATACTCCCTCCTATACACCTATATTATAATTCTTGGTTTCAGTGTCTTCTGGCTTCTATCAGTGTAAGAATTATTCAGATCTTTGTTTCAGTGCCTTCTCCCAAGTGTGTCTACCTTTGAATTATATTAACTAAAATGAGATTCTGAATTTCATAGCAGTTTTCCATGTAACCCCCTTTCCACCTTTCTATGGGGAGTTTTTTGGTAAACATTTTAATTTCATTTTTTATTTTTTGTTTTTTCTGTTTTTTGTTTTTTAAAAAGATGACCGGTGGGCCAGCCCGGTGGCTCACTCGGTAGAGTGCGGCGCTTGGGAGCGTGGCGGCGCTTCCGCCGAGGGTTCAGATCCCATATAGAGACCGGTCTGCTCACTGGTTGAGCGCGGTGCAGGAGCGACACTGAGGGTTGCAATCCCGTTACCAGTCACGAAAAAAGACAAAAAGGGGAAAAAAAAAAAAAAGATGACCGGTAAGGGATCTTAACCCTTGACTTGGTGTTGTCAGCACCACGCTCTCCCAAGTGAGCTAATCGGCCATCCCTATATAGGGATCCGAACCTGTGGCCTTGGCACTATCAGCACCATACTCTCCCGAGTGAGCCCTTTATTTCATTTTTTAGAAATTAGTATACATGTTTATGTGAACAAATCAAATAATACAGAGATCTACCAAGAAAAAGTCAGTGATCTCCCTGTCTAGGCCCACCTCCCCAAGACAGCTAATGTAAGTTGCTTAGTGTGTGTTTCTATGCCTTTGGCTGTACCACAGAGATAACTTTTTCTTTAACACTTTCTATTTTCTGATCTTAAAAATAACATACATAAAAACAATAATAAATATAATGCATGCTCATTGAAGAAAATTTAGAAAACAACAAAAAGAAGAAACAAAAGACAAAACCTCACTCAGTGAGACAAGTGACTGGTATCATTTTGGCTTATTAATTTCCAGTGTTTTTGTAAGCATTTTCCTTCCATTAGCATACTATACAAGGGGTCTTCCAAAAGTTTGTGATAAAATTCATATTTTTCAATTCCATTTTTCCATGAACTTTTTGAAGTACCCTCTTATATAAATTGTTTCTACCCCAACCTGCTTTACATCTTGAGCATTTTCTCATGTCTTTTACAAACTTAGAAAATACTTTTAATAGTTACAGTATATTTTTCCACAATTTCCTTTCTTAATTATTACCTTAATGTTGCTCATTAAAAATCTTCCTAATTTTTAAAATTATAAACAAAATGTTTTGCCTAAGCCCCGTACCACTTTATTTCCCAGATTAGTTTCCTAGAAGGAAACAGTCAAAAGGTATTTCTAAAGTTCCTGGTACATATTGCCATAGGCTTTCTTCAAAGTTTGTATAAGGGTGCCTTCCCATTTTATAGCCAGTGTAAAATAAAGCCCAGGATTTGTCCACGTCCACCTAACACGTCATTAGCAGGGACAGGATTAAAAGTCAAATCTTATTTCCAGGGCATGTGAATTCCTTGCTTGAATTATTCTGCTTATGTGATATCTCTCTGTTGTAAGAACACTATAGAGATCTGTTTATGGTTTATAAACTTCTAAAAACATAATGTAAATTGTGGCAATATTTTATGTTCAAAGTACTTGTTTCTCAATCCTGTTTCGGCTTCTTGGCAGATGACTCAGGGATAATTTACTGCCTGTCCAGGCGAGAATGTGACACAATGGCTGACACATTGCAGAAGGACGGTCTTGCTGCTCTTGCTTATCATGCTGGCCTCAGTGATTCTGCCAGAGATGAAGTACAGCACAAGTGGATTAATCAGGATGGCTGCCAGGTAACACCTTGTGAAATAAACAAATGAAAAAAACAACCTTTTTAGTATATAAACATCCTTGCACATATAGAATGCAAACTGTTATTACCTTAAAGTTAGTAAACATCAAAATGAGACTAAAATTAAAAAGTAGAGTTTGTGTGTGTGTGTGGCTGCCCTTATGGGAATACCAGCCCTTGACCTCGGTGTTATCAGCACTACATTCTACCCGAGTTAACCAGTCAGCTCTAAAAAACAAATTTTTTTGAGACTTGTAGTTATTTTTTCTTAAATAAAAAAAAATTTATTGAGATAATTTACATATCATAAAATTCACCTTTTCAAAGTGTACAGTTAGTGGTTTTTAGTCTATTTGCAAAGTTGTGCAACCATCACCATTATCTAATTCCAGAACATTTCATCACCTGCAAAAGAAACTCCGACCCATTGGCAGTCATTTCCCTTATCCACCAGTCCTTGGCAACCATTACTTTAACCACAACTAATCTGTCTCTATAGATTTTCCTATTCTGTACATTTCACATAAATGAAATCATACAGTGTGTCTTTTGTGACTGATATCTTTTACTTAACATAATTTTTTCAAGGTTTATCGATATTGTAGCATATTATCAGTACTTCATTCCTCTTCGTGGCCAAGTAATATTTTATTATATGACTATACCACCGTTTATCCACTCATCAGTTGATTAGACATTTGGGTTGTTTCATTTTAGGGCACTTTGAGTAATGGTCCTGTGAACATTTGTGTACAAATTTTTATGTGAACATAGGATAGTTGAAAGAGATACAATAGTCAAATGTATTATAAATAAATACATAACAAATATATAACAAAATCAGGGAGGACCATCTTCAGAATCAGAAGAGGGAAGACTGGGACTAAAGAATTTCATACCCAGCTCATTGTCATTTATGTTGAAAACAACAGAATGGCATTTTCAGATATGCAAGAAGTTCAGAAAATATATCATTGATTTATCTCTATTGAAATAACTATAGACTTTAATCTTCTCAAATTAGTTTATATATTTAATCAAAATTCTAGTGCATTTTTCCTTTGATAAACTTTTTTTAAAGTTTGCCTGGAAGAGGTCCGGCCCCGTGGCTCACTCAGGAGAGTGCAGCGCAGGGAGCGCCGAGGCCACAGGTTCAGATCCTATATAGGGATGGCTGATGCGCTCACTGGCTGAGCGTGGTGCAGGCGACACCGTTCCGAGGGTCACGATCCCCTTACCCGTCAAAAAACCAAAAACAAACAAAAATGTTTGCCGGAAGAATATGTAAGTGAAAATTAAAATAATTTTGCCATGCCCCTCCCCACCACCCTGCTTCTGCATCCAGCCTACTGAGCACCAAGCTGCAGCAGAACCACCCACCCCCACCGCCACTTCTGAGCCTGAGTGGGGCGGGGTACTGAGGGCCTCAGCCACACACACACCCCCCACACCATCTGCCACCAGGCCAGCAAAGGAGCCAGCAAAGGAACCAGCAATGGGCCAGCCGCGCCCCTCCACCCTCCACCCTCCCCCACCACCACTCTGTAACACTTTAGAATGTAAATAAAAAGAATATTCCACAAAAAAAATTTTCCACAAGAAAATCCCACAAAAAAGAATAACACATGTACACTGGTTTGCAAGTACGTTTATAGATAGATAAATGGAACAGAAATCCAGAAATAGACTGTAAAACATGTAAAAACAATATGTGATAAGGAGCGCGTTAAAAATTAATGAGGAAAGGAAGATTATTCAACTGGTAGTACTGGCTAGTTAATGAAAATTGTTTTAGATTGTCAAATCAAAATAAATTACAGATAAGTAAAGGTATTGGTATTTTATAATGTATGATCTCCCAATGGAAAAGAACCTAAGCTTAAAAATAGCCCAAAAGGGGGCTGACCAGTTACCTCAGTTGGTTAGAGCACAGCTTTGTAACACCAAGATCCCCATACTGGCCAGCCACCCCAGTGCCAAAAAATAAAATTAAAAAAAAGAAAAAGCCCAAAAGGAAGTAATTGCTGGAGATGATTTAAGAACTAAACACTTCTATATTGATAAACAAAATTAAAAGGCAACAACAAACTAGAAAAATATGTCTTCAGCAAATAAAACATAAGAGTTTTTAAAAAATGGGTAAGAAAAACATGAGTCTCAAGTAGTAAATGAGCCTAGGCTATAAGCAGACTGTTGGAAAGGAGAAAATACAAATGGCTAAAGACAATGTTTTTTAAAATTTCAACTTTGCTTATCAAAGGAATTCTAATTTAAAAACAGTGAGACCATTTTCCACCTTGCATTAGCAAACTTTTGTGTAATTGTTGATGACAAAGCTTTAAGAGGCACATTATGCAGTGCTCTTGAGAGTCTTTCTGGAAAATGATATGGCAGTGTGGCAAGAGCTCCAACTCCGAAGTATAGGCGTAGAATTTACATCAGTGTTATTTTTTATAATAAATAGCCTAATATTTAGTATTAAATAGCCTAAATGCAAATAGCTTAAATGTCCTGAAAGAAAGATTGGGTACATTATGGTACATTTCTGCATTGAAAATGGTTTATGAAGAATTTCTCAATGTATAAAGATGTTCAAATGCTAATGATGGGGGAAAACAGGGTTCAAAAGTACATAATCTCAACCATATAAAAAGAAAATCAAATGGAAAAAATATATACAAATACAAAAGAAGAAAGCCTGGAAGGAAATAAAATAGTATAGAATAGACTAGGAGTGGTTACTCCTAGTCATATAATTAAGAGTGATTTTTTTCAAGTTCTTTAAATCTTTATATACAGTATAAAGATTCTACAATGAAGATATATATATGCATATATATATAACTTTGATCAAAATATGGTTAAAACGGTGTTATAACACCGAGGTCAAGGGTTCAGATCCCCATACCAGCCAGCAGCCAAAAACACGTGTGTGTGTGTGTGTGTGTGTGTGTGTGTGTGTGTGTGTGTGTGTGTTTTGTTTTGTTTCCTTAATCTAATTGTTTTCTGCTGTCAGACTAGCTAATCCTTACAGTCAAGGTATGATGTTAACCTACACCAACTGGACAGCCTTGTGATCTTGTTAGATTTGTGAGACAATAAAACTTAGATGTTTTTCTTCACAAAGGATGATAGTAACGTGAAGTTTTTAAAACAACACAGAAATAAAGAAGGTAGTTACAATTTAACAAAACCAGTTTTCCCAGTTAGGAGAAATAAGGGCTTTCAGAAAGATGTGGCATCATCGCGGCCTCATTTGGAGTGTGTAATGGTGCCTCAGAGCCATGTGCCCACTCAGATACGTTGAGAGATGCACCCAGGCTTCATGGACCCTGCAGGCCATGCTTGCTGACCTGTGGGCTGGCACATCTTCCTGTACAGCCTCTCTGCCTGCTTTCCGTCATTAGAAGCCACAGTAGACTTTCTCTTTCCAAGGAGATTTGCTTTTGATCAAGATGCCATAAATTTAGATTGATGACTAACCTAGAATGTAGGCTGCTGCTGTTCCTGCTGTTGATAAATGCACCCGTTTGCTGTCCACATACCCCATAGCCTGCCGTTGCTTTCTCTGGTACTCACAGTTACTGAAATCATGTCATTAGCCTCAGTCTGGCTGCCAGATATTTCAGTTGCTTTTGAAATACTGTTCTTGCAGTAGCAATTCATTTTCTAAGTGCTAAAAAAAGACTTACAGCTTTATTTGTATAATGTAATTTTGCCTGGAGATATAACATTTTGGTCTGGATTAAATAGGTCCTAAATTTGCAACTGAAATGGATATTCTTAAAAACTGATTTATCAAGCTCCCGAAAGTTAACTATCACCTTGCTTCCACTAAGTATTTGTATGGGCTAAGATCCACAGTCCCTGGTTTTTTTTTTTTTTTTTTTTTTCCTCGTATAAGCAACCCTCAGAATTTTACCCACATGAGTTTCAATTAAGATTTTCCAAATTTTGACTTTCAGCTGAGGAATAAGAGAAGTTGCTGGGAAAACTGATGGTAAGCACTGAGGCAGGTGAGAACGCCATTGTTCCTGAATCATCAGAGGAACTAGCAGCAAATCCCTGAAAGCTCAATTCTGGGAACGCCCCGGAGCTCCTGAGCAACATGTTGCTTATGATCACTGACCTGGATATCAAGGCTGTGTGAGGAATATCCCCCACACCTCAATATCAGAAACAGAGAATAAACAGTGGCAAAACATCAAGTGCTGGCTGTAATTGATTCTGGCTCCCTTATGTGACAATATCGATTTGCACACGAAAGTGCCTGCCACGCTGAGCTTCTCTTTTTCTCTCTACCTTCTTGGTCTTAACAGAATTGCAGATTATCAATATGAAAATCTCATGTTAGTCATGCCAAATAGTAGGGACCAAGTTAAGATATTAGGTTGTTGTGTAGAATACATTTAAAAGTAAAATAAGGGATAGAGCTTTTAGAAGCATCTATTATTAAAATGTTCCTTTAAATGCATTATGAGTCTAATAGGCTTTTGCTTTTACATCAGGTTATCTGTGCAACAATTGCATTTGGAATGGGGATTGACAAACCTGACGTGCGATTTGTGATTCATGCATCTCTCCCTAAGTCCGTGGAGGGCTACTACCAAGAATCTGGCAGAGCCGGCAGAGACGGAGAAACATCTCACTGCCTTCTTTTCTATACCTATCATGATGTGACCAGACTGAAGAGACTCATTATGAGTAAGCTGAGCTCCACTGTAGAGACATTCTTTCATCTTCAGTCTCATGATAGTAATCTACTTCTGCTGTTGTGCTGCTTTTGGTCCAGTTTTCCTTAAATAGCTATGGAAAAATAGAGGTGTTTATATAGATTGGGAATTTTATTTTAGTTCATTTTTATTGGAAAAGTAGTACATTCTGGTTATGTAAAACTCAAATCATACAGACATGTGCAAGGCAGAAAATTTCCAAACCATGCCTTGTAGTCTTGCCCCAAGAAATAACTCCAGTTATTGGTTTCCTTCATATCCTTCCAGACCTAAGTTCCGCATCCATCCTTGGCACAGTGCTTGGTAACCGCCGTATTTCAACACATATTTAAACATACAGAATTATGTATACATAATATATATAACACATATTTCAAACATACAGAAGATAGAAAGGGGAAATAATGGACTCTAATGTACCACCATTCAGATTAAGAAATAAAACACGCAGTAGAGCTGAAACCCATATATATCCCTCTTCTGTCTCAGCCCTCTTCTCCCTATTTGGAGGCAGACGGTATCTTTTATTTGGTGTTTACTTTTCCCAAATGCATATTTTTTTCCTTTTCTTTTCCTTTTTTTTTTTCTCTTTGGTGACTGTGGCTGGTAAGCATATATTTTAAAATGTAATTAAATTATACTTTTTTACATATATAGTGACCTGATTTTTTTTCAGTCATCCGTGGGATGTAATTATCACTCCAATTAATACACCTAGCTTGACTACATAGAATTCCATAGCTTGGTTATTCAATGTTTATTAAACCAGTCTGCTCTTAATAGATATTTAGATTATTTATTGTTTTTCACCATTATCAACAATACAGTATTAAACATCCTTGTACAGATATTTTTGGGCATTTGTGCAATTATTTATATAGGATAAATTTCTAGACTTAGACTTGCTGAGTCAAAGTGAATTCATATTTTATAATTTTATTATATCCTTTGCCCATTTTTCTACTGGGTTCTGATAGCAAAATATATTTTCTAAATACATTTCTCTATTTTGAGACCACTTTTGAATTAACTTTGGCAGAGATACTTACTGTGCATGGGAAATGGCAATTACCAAGCACTGTGCCAAAAACTCTGCATGTATCACCTTACAACCTTATTTGCTCATAACCACTAGTTTTTGAGATAGTTACTCCCATGAGAAAAGTGAGCTTCAGAAAGTTTTTATAACTTACTCCCCAGATCACTGATATTACAGCAACAGCCACAGGAGTGGTGGGAATAGTGGTAATAGTAGTACGGTAATAGTAATCATTATAGATAATATTTCTTTAGCTCTTACTATATGCTGTTTTGAATACTTTACATATATCAACTCATTTAATCTTCACAACAATCCTAAAAGATAAGACTATTACTTTCCTCATTTTACAGAAGAGGAAAATGAGATACAGAACTAGTAAGTGGCAGAGCCCTGATGGAACCTGAGTTTATCTGACTCTAAAATCCATGTTTGTTACACTATACCAAAATGATTCCCAGTGAAAAAATGAAATTTTCATACTTAGTTTGCCTATTTGTGTTTTTAAACAAACCTATATTAAGTTAGGTCTGAACAACTTGATAAGTATTTAAGTCCTACTAACTTAACAACTATTTGAAAAAAATACTCAAACTGGAAGAAAAATAATATGTTGATTTTATTCTTTAATAACCACAATTGCTTGCTAATGGAAAGTATGCACCTGCTATTCTTAAACTTTGGAGTCAAATCAGACACTTCCACTCTTATTTCCTATTTCTTTTTTTTTTTTTTTTTTTCCCCTTTTTTTTGTCTTTTTTTACTGACCGGTAACGGGATCTCAACCCTCGGTGTTGCGCCCGCACCGCGTTCAGCCAATGAGCGGGAACCGGTCTCCACATGGGATCCGAACCCTCGGCAGGAGCGCCGCCGCGCTCCCAAGCGGCGCACTCTCCAGTGCTCCACCGGGCCAGCCCCTTATTTCCTATTTCACACTGATTTTCTTGAGGTACTTGTTTTTATCATAGCAATTGCCAAAAATTCACAAAGATAAGATATTACTGAAAGGAATGTAGCACATGAACTACCTCCAACTAATAGTTTGTGTGGTGTTCAACAGATGTTAGATATTGCTGTGTTTCCCTTAAATTTAAAATATCTTGTCCCTGTCGGGGGCCGGCCCGTGGCTCACTCGGGAGAGTGCGGTGCTGATAACACCAAGGCCCCAGGTTCGGATCCCGCATAGGGATGGCCAGTTCGCTCACTGGCTGAGCGTGGTGCTGACAACACCAAGTCAAGGGTTAAGATCCCCTTACCGGTCATCTTTTAAGAAAAAAAATATATATATATCTTGCCCCTGTGAGTTCACTGCAGCACCCCAGGCGTTCTTGGCACACAGTTTTGGAACCACTGGCTTAACGACTTTGACCTCAGATACTTGGGGAGGTGCACAGCGCACTGCCATAGTTCCAGGCTCTGCTTACTTTGGATGCTGAGTTCAGTATGTGCATGTCTGATAAATATAGTAAATATAAGTCAAACCTTCACACTGGGGATAATGAAGATTTGAAAAATAATTTTCCAATTTGCAAAAAAAAAAGTCTTAACATTTATTCCTATAAAACTAAAATCTTGACAGATGAACGTAAATACCCAGTTAATTGTAATATAGAATGATATATTGACAGGATGCTGTTAATAGTAATTTTCTTATTTAATATTTAAAGTTATATGAATCTATTCTAAATATTTCTGTGATGTTCTCTTTTCCTAGTGCAATAAGTATGTTTTACTATGCTTTTCATCTTTTTTAGTGGAAAAAGATGGAAACCATCATACGAGAGAGACTCACTTTAATAATTTGTATAGCATGGTACATTATTGTGAAAATATAACGGAATGCAGGAGAATACAGCTTTTGGCCTACTTTGGTGAAAATGGATTTAATCCTGATTTTTGTAAGAAATACCCAGATGTTTCTTGCGATAATTGCTGTAAAACAAAGGTAAAATAAGAAATTTTAAAATTCTTTATAATTAAGGAAATTGCGGAAATATTTTTTCTTCTCTTAATTTAGAAAAGTAGATAAAAGTATAGTTATGATAGGTGGGCCCCAAGGGGCTAAAGAAGGGAAAGATGACTTTCTCCCCATGGTGATTTGGAATAGAAACATTTTAAAAGTAACTTTGTGCAATATCTTTTATTTAGAATTAGAAGCTTATAAAAAAATATACTGGACATTCACCTGTCCAAAATATTGAGGTGACACTGATGATTATATATTTTAGAAATACCATTAATACATAAAAATCCAAAAAGATCCAGCATGGGCAAGTAGAATAGTTTAAATTCAACTACAACCTATATCTAAAGATCTCATTCTCAAAAGAGTAATAATAGCTAGTATACTGTGAGTTTGAATTCAAATCAATTAAATTACTCCATTGAGTTTTTTTTTTTAACTATAAAGAATAACAGCAGTGGCTTCTGGATGACTTTACTATCATCTGTCCTGAAATAACCCTGGGAGTTGTTAAATTCAATCAGTAGGTGCTTATTTCACCTACCATGGTAACTTTACATTTTACTTTATTTATTTATTCATTTATTTTTGGCAGCTGGCCAGTATGGGAATCTGAACCCATGACCTTGGTGTTACCAGCACCATGCTCTCCCAAGTGAGCTAACTGGCCAGCCTAGTAATTTTACATTTTAATATCTACTGAACTTCACTGTTTACAAAGCATTTTCACATTTGGTATATTATTTAAAATGTTTGTGCAAGGTGCTAGGGATTCACAAATGAGCATGGTGTGGACCAGTTCAAAAACTGGAAGGGTGTCAGACATACGTGTTCATAAAAGTATAATACTGTGTAATAAGTATAGTTACAAAGATGTACAGTACTAGCCAGAGCAAGGGGTAATTTGCTTTTCTCTTGGTGTGGAATCTGCAGGTTCATGTCCTTCTCCCCACCCTGTACATGTTGCTAATTAGTTCACTCATGCAGCAGATATCTGCTGAGTACCTGCTCTGTAAACTGTTCTACGAATGTGGAATACATCATTGGACAAAATAAATAGAAATCCCTGCCCTTTTGCAGCTTATATTCTAACAGAAGGAGGCCGATTACAAACAATATACACAATAAATGTATGTTAAGTGATACATGTTAAGGAATAAGAACTGTGGTGAAAAGTACAGCAGAGTAAGGAGACAAGAGTAATGGGTGGGGTACAGGATGCAGTATTATATATGTGGCCCACAGAAGTCTTATTAAGAAGATGAGATCTGAGTAAAACTTGAAGGGAGTAAGCTGAGCAGCGCTCTGGATATGGGCATTCTTGACAGAAGCACTGACACTAGAGCCAAGGCCCTAATGTGGGGGATATGCCTGGTGCGTTTGAGGGACAGCAAGGAAGCCCGCATGGCTGAATGGTATGAAGAGTCAGTGAGAAGGGGAGATGATGGAAGGCTAGGGCAATAACTCAAGGGCAAGAGTACTGGGGTAACTGGAGGTCTGTGTAACTGGAAGAATGGGGTTAGCCTTAGCCAAGATGCGGAAGGCTGGGAGGAATGGTCGGGAGATTGGTTTGGGGTATATTGAGTTACATAGGTCTATTGATCCAGGAATTCTGAAAAGAGGCTGGTGGTACATATAAATTTGGGAACATTTGGTACATAGATGATATTTAAAGCCATAAGATCGGGTAAAATCTTCAGGGGGGGCCGGCCTGGTGGCGCACTGGAGAGTGCGCTGCTTGGGAGCGCGGCGGCGCTCCCGCCGAGGGTTCGGATCCCATGTGGAGACCGGTTCCCGCTCACTGGCTGAGCTTGGTGCGGGCGCAGCACCGAGGGTTGCGATCCCGTTACCGGTCAATGAAAAAGACAAAAAGGATAAAAAAAAAGAAGAAAAGAAAATCAGACACTTAGCTCTGGGGCATTAAGAGGTTGAGAAGGGGAAGAACTAGGAAAGGAGACCAGAAAAGAAAACCAGATAAGAGGAAAACCAAGAAAAGTAAGTGCAGAAAGTATCTCAAGGAGGAGGGATAGCTAACCATCCAAATGCTGCTAAGTCTAGTACAGAAAGGACTGAGAATTCACCACTAGGTTTGTTGTTTTTTGGCAGCTGGCCAGTATAGGTATCTGAACTCGTGACCTTGGTGTTATAAGGCTATCCTCTAACCAACTGAGCTAACCAGCCAGCATTTCTTTTCTTTTTCTTTTTCTTTTTTTCTCCATTGGATTTAGCAGTGCAGAAATTATGCTGATCTTGTTTTGACCATTTTCAGAAGAATGGGGCAAAATTGGAAGCAGTGAATATAGATAACTCTTTTAAGTTTTGCTGCAAAGGTAAACAGAGAAATGGGGCAGTAACTGACTGGGAAAGTAAATTCAAGAAAAAATAGAAATAACATATTTGTATGCTGATCGTAATGTATCTACAGAGGAAGAAAAATGATGTGTAATGAGAGAAATGGGAGAATTGGTGAAGCAATGTCCTTGAGTGGGCAAAGGAGGTTGGGATCTAGTATAAAAATAGAGAGACTTGTTTTAGATAGGAGTTTGGAGAGTTCACCTATAGTAACAGGTAGGAAGATAAGAAAGTACAGGGCACATGCTGGCAAAGGAGTGGATGTAGTGATGGGAGTTTGTGAAAGCTCTCTTCTGAGTGCTTCAGTTTTCTCAATTAAGTACAAATCAAGGTCATCAGCTGACAGTCAGGATAAGAAAGTGGATTGAAGAGGAAAAAGAAAGTATAAAATAGTCAATCTAGAACAGGGTCAGCAAACTTTATCTTAAAGGGCCAAATAGTAAATATTTTAGACTTTGTGGCCATATGGTCTCTGTTACAACTACTCAACTCTCCCGTTGTAACCCAAAAGCAAACATAAACAATAAATATATCAATTTTCCAATCCTGTTTCATGGCTGTGTTCCTATAAAACTTTATTTACAAAAACAGCCATCCAGCTTATGGGTCATAGTTTGTAAAAGTGTGGAGGAGTGATAGACTGTGGATATATAATGATTATTTGAAGCATCAAGAATTCACTTGAGGTTTGTGGCCATGTATTAAAAGTGAAAATAGGGCCGGCCTGGTGGCGCGCTGGAGAGTGCGCCGCTTGGGAGTGTGGCGGCGCTCCCGCCGAGGGTTCGGATCCCATGTGGAGACCGGTTCCCGCTCACTGGCTGAGCAAGGTGCGGGCGCGGCACCGAGGGTTGCGATCCCGTTGCCAGTCAGTAAAAAAGAAAAAAAAAAAAAAGTGAAAATAATCAGCATGGTTGTGTATGTTTCTCCAGCCAACTTCAGCCACACAGGTACAAGCATGGAGTGGACAGAGAATCGGATATACTGTGTTTTGCCAAGTAACATGATGAAGTGACCTAAGGGCAAGGGAGTTGAGGGTATATAAGAGGTAGTGATTATAATGATTATGAAATTTAAGCTGAGTTAGGAGGACATCTTAGGTTGAGGATCAGTGGATAGGCAGCCCCAGCGTACTATTGGAGTCAGAATACTAGATGGCATGAGCTGGAAAGATAGGATGTGGTGGTCTGAGAATGAAGAGCTTGCCATTATTAGTAAGACTAAGGCAAGAGGTGTGACCATGGGAGACAGTAGCTGATGGATGTGGAGGACAGAAGAAAAGGTCCAGACACCAATGAGGGGCTGGCTGGTTAGCTCAGTTGGTTACAGTGTGGTGCTGATAACACCAAGGTACAGGGTTTAATCCCTATACCAGCAAGCTGCCAAAAACAAAAAAGACATCCAAAGGCCAAAGTGTTGGAAAGTCATCTCTGCATACTGCAGTCACCAAGAATTAAGCAAGAATGATGTTGGAATGACAGGGCATTCTTTCTTGATGATTCTAGATGGGGCCTCAGCATCAGTATAAGACAGGAAACCTGTTTGTCTTCAGGTTATTGGATTGTGGCAATGAACAAAGATTAAAAGACAGGGAGAACTGCCTACACGGAGGCACAGAAGTGTGATGCAGCTTTTAGGACTGCAAGTGGTTAGTATATTGCTTGTGTAGAGATGAAGGCAGAAAGGTTATCTAGTAATGGAGACTTTAAAAAGTGGAAAAGTATAGGGACAACTGAGGGAAATGAGAACAGGAAGTGAGGGGAGACAATAAAAAAGAATTGAGTGTGGCACCAAAGACGCAAAAGAGGTTAGAACGCATGAATTTTCATGGCTGGACAGTGTTTTCTATCCCTAAGGTTACTATCCAGTAAGTGACAGAGCAAGAAGGATTTAATATATATGTATACATATTCCTACCCACAGAACACTTCCAGGTAGTTGAAAGACAAGATGTATGTCTGAAACAGTAATAGAGAAGTATAGTAGAGTGCTAATCATTCTAGAACTTCAACAAGAATGAGCATTTGAAATTTCCTTAATTGTTAGTCTTGGTTTTAGTCTGGAAACGTGTTATTATGAGTCTACCACAGTTAATATTAAACCCTGGTAATCTAGGTATCTCTAACAGAAGCTAATCTCTTTTTTATTCATAGGATTATAAAATAAGAGATGTGACTGATGATGTGAAAAATATTGTAAGATTTGTTCAAGAACATAGTTCATCACAAGGAATGGGAAATAAGCATGTAGGTCCTTCTGGAAGATTTACTATGAATATGCTGGTTGACATTTTCTTGGGTAAGTCATCTGTTTTATTGTTTGAGTCACAGCAATTGAAATTGAACATCTAAAGAATTCATTACCAGTACATAGAAAAAAAATAATCTCTTTGCCTGTTTTCTTATAGAACTTAAGAGTTTCTGAATAAAACCTCTGAATAACTAAAGGAAATTTGTTTTTATGTATTATGCCAGTTATCTTATAGAATTCATGTCACTAAGATGAAGCATTCTTACATTTAAAAAAGAAACTAATAAAGTTTATGCAAGTTCATCTGAGTGCAGAATATAATTTGCTTGAGAGCTACCCATAGACTGGCTTCCAGTTCAAGATGGCAGCCTGAGGCCCTATTAAAATGATAGTGAGGAAGCAAAATGAGGGTTAAAGCCACACAGCATAGAGAACAGGAGAGAGGCCATCATCAGATGAGAGACTCTTAAAATCTTTTAGGAAGTGGATGGAAGCATGTTGACACATGGAATGAAATGCAATAAAACCACAACCCAAAATAGACGTAGCGGAGTGATAGCAGCGGAGGGACTACCTGCCAGGCAGAGCCCCATCAGTAGGCATCAGGGTGAGTGTGAAAGCAAGGGAGCCAAAAATAGGAAGAGTTCAGTTACAAGAAAGTCTGCCCCCAAGTCCACTGCAGAGTACCAGCCTGGAATTGATTATAGAAAAGTGATTGCCAGAAGGGCCACTGAGTTAGGGGCCAGAGTCCCAAAGTGGCATCTGGGGACTGCTCAGCCTACCTAAAGTGTGCTCCCACCCACTTACCCTAAAGTAAACCTGAAAATTGGATATCCCCATTCATGGGAGGAATTTGAGGGGGATAAGGGAATAGATCTAGATATGGAATAACAGGAAACCCACCTCAAAATTGTAACCGAGTCCCTGAATGTTAAGTAGAAATGGAAAGTCAGGAGAAAGACCAAATAAGTAGAATATTTAACCCTGGACAATAGAGATAATTTAGAAAATAGGCAGTAGTTTGGGGGAGAAGGGAGGGAAAACTCCGAATTAGCTTCATAAATAATAATTGAATATTAAGGAAAAAATCAATTTAGTAGAAAAGTTAGAAGACAGAGTCAAGAAAATCTTCTAAGACTTGAGCACAAAGATATATGGAAAGTATGAGAGAAAACATATAGAAGATCAATCTAGGAGATGTAAAAATCTGACAAATAGAGTTCCGATCAAGATGGCCGAATAGACAGTCCCCAGTGTCACTCTCTCCCACAAATCAACCAGTTTACAACTATAAAAATGTAACATCAGCCAAGCTTGGGCCACTGGAGCTCAGGGGAAGAGGAGGAGAGACCTATGGAGTTCATGAAGGCGGGAGAAAACATGGTGAGAGAAAAAATAAAGCTGCTCTGAGCATTTCGGGCTGCGGCTGCTTTAAGACTAGAGCTGATGAGCGCATGGAGCAGGAGCTGGCAGAAGCTGCAGCTGTGCCCTTTAGATGGAGTTACTTAGAGGCGGAAGTGGAGAAGAGGGCCTTGGCAGCCCCCAGGACAGCAAGACCACTAATAGGGTTCCCATGGATTCATGCAGGAGTGAGGAGCCAGAACAACTGAAAAACGGGAGCCATTCAGAGGCTGGTGAGTCATTGCAAGTGTCTGTTGCAGGGCCTGTCTCATAGGAAGTGTTTGGAGCACAGGCAGTGGGGGAGACAGGCCCACCGGGATAACACTGGGACACAGCAAGGACAGCCAATCCGCCCCCCAATCAGCGCAGGACCGCTCAGAGGAGACTCGTCGGGAATGCAGACTTGCATGGGGTGCAGTTTGATGAAAAGACTCAGGCCCAGATCAGAGTTTCTACACAACCCAGGTGCACCGGGTCTCTGGAGAACCGGAAGTACCTATAAGGTCAACCATTAAACCCTGAGCTGCACAAAAAGCCTTCCCTAGGGAAACAGCAGCAAAGTAGCAATTTAGGTCAACTACACAGCTCAAGTATTGGTTTCCACAGGAAGTTCCCCCATTTTAGAAGTAAGCAAAGGACAAAAAATTAATTCCAGCCCAGGTACACCACCAGCACCTTGGGGCCTGCCTGGGAATTGGAGACTTGGAGCCAGGGACCGGACCCCACTCCTACGTCCAGGCACACTGCACCAGTGCCTCAGGGCCCACCTGGGCACCCAGGGCATGGAGAAAGGGACCAGAGCCCCATCCCACAACCAGGCACACCACAGCAGCACCTTGGGGCCTGCCCAGGAACCCGAGGCATGGATAAGGGGACCAGACCCCCCTCACACAACCAGGCACACCACACCAGCACCTTGGGGCCCACCTGGGGACCCGAGTCATGGAGAAGGGGACTGGACACCCCTCCCACAACCAGGCACACAATGCCAGCACCTTGGGGCCCACCCAGGGACCTGAGGCATGGATCCAGGCACTGGACTCCCCCCACAACTAGGTGCACCACACCAGCACCTCAGGGCCCGCCTGGGGACCCAAGGTATGGAGAAGGGGACCAGAACCCCCTCCCACAACTAGGCACACTGCCAGTGCCAAGGAGCATGCCAAAAACATCACCTCCGGGCTGGCCTGGTGGCGCACTCGGTAGAGTGCAGTGCTTGGTAGCGCGGCGGCCCTCCCGCCGAGGGTTCGGATCCCATATAGAGACCGGTCCGCTCACTGGTTGAGCGCGGTGCGGGCGCGACACCAAGGGTTGCGATCCCGTTACCGGTCACGAAAAAAGACAAAAAGGAAAAAAAAAAAAACATCACCTCCATGCGGGTGGCCCACCACAATAACCATGGCTGCCTTGAAAGCAGCTATATGCCACAACCACCACGCAGATGGTCTGCCAACCACTGGAGTGCATTGACACATGGACAGTCACCAGCAGAGATAAAGAAAAGAAGAGGATGTCTCTCTCCTCAAAGCCATTTCAGAGTGACACAAGGATCATTTGCTCTATGATAATATTGGGGGACCTGATCACACCTCTCAGCATTGGATAGATCATCTAGGTAACAAATCAACAGAGTAACCATTATTCTTTCAGGACAGAAGAAATCTAGGGCAATTAGAGGGGAGAGGGGGATGGGGAGGGATTGGACAAGGGGCATAAAGAATAATTACAATTTGTAACAATATATATGCTAGTAATATTGATTTGATCAACATATCTCAATGTTGAACCCCAAAAATATGTATAATCAATTTTGATTCAATAAAAAAAAAAATCTGACAAAAATACTGGAAATAGAAAATAAAGGGAATTATCAAACTAGTGATATAAGAAAATTTCCTAGAGTGGAAGAAATAAAAGCTTTCAGATTAAAATGCCCACTGAATGCCAAATAATACACGTGTTAAAAAAAAAAAAATTAAGACCTATTCCTATGAGATTTGAGACTACCAAGAGTAAAGACATGTCAAGGAGGAAAAACTTCCTCTGCGTCTTAGGTTCAGTCATAGAGCCAGCAAATTAAACTGACAAAAGACAGATTAGCCCATCCCCTTAACAGCCACACACACACACACACACAATCCTAGCAAGATTTAAGACAGATTTAATCACGTCACAAAAGAATGTAACTCAAAGGAGCAGTTAGAATTTGGGGCTTATATACCATCCTAATAAGGGAAGGAGAAGGGGGGAAAGGGCACTTATGGGAAAACAGATGACTTTTAGGAAAGATAAGTGGACCCTTAGGAGACTAGATGGTAGATGGGACATTTTTATGACAGTGTCTAAGTGTGTTGTGGAGACTTCTCATTACCACTTATGAGAGTCAACATTCCCTGGTTTTTCCCAGGGAGGGAATTTATGACAACTGAGTTCTTCTGAATTCTTTTTGGAGGCTCTGCTTTTTGGCAGATAAGATATTTCAGGAACTCAGATGCTCAAGATAATTTTTATGCCACAGTGGCATATCCTGGACCCCTTCAGAGACCATCCTGAAAGCTCTGGAAAGAAAAAATAGGAACCAAAACCAGACTAACATCAGATTAATATCAGCAGTCCTGGAGACTAGAAGGCAAAGAAAGTGAGTGCACGTCATGATACAGTGAACAGTGGAACTGACTCATGGTCTCCGGTGAGAAGAAATCCCATCACCTCAGCTGTGCAGTAGGGCCAGAAAGCAATCTGTGCAAATTGTAGCAGAAAGACAAGAAGAATAGGTCCCAACCAACATATAGAAAGAATAAGAAGTGGAAATTAATTTTATTGGTAACAGTGAAGAATGCAAATGTTACTTCTCAACAACAACAAAAAAAGAGGCAATTAAAACTCCAGAGGGAAGATTATACAAGAGAAGGGCTGGCTGGGATAGCTCACTTGGTTAGAGTGTAGTGTTGGTAACACCGTCAAAGGTTCAAATCCCTAGACAGGCCAGCTACCAAAAAAAAAAAAAATTATACAAGAGAGCCACAATCAAATATAAAACAAAGAGGTTTTTTTTTTTTTTTTCCTTTTTTTGTCTTTTTTTACTGACCGGTAACGGGATCGCAACCCTCGGTGTCGCACCCATACCGGGGACCGGCAACGGGATCGCAACCCTCGGTGTTGCACCCGCACCGCGCTCAGCCAGTGAGCGGGAACTGGTCTCCACATGGGATCCAAACCCTCGGCGGGAGCGCCGCCACGCTCCCAAACAGCGCACTCTCCAGTGCGCCACCGGGCCGGCCCAACAAAGAGTATTTTAACACAACTTTGAGTAATTGATAAAATGTACTAAAAAAATCCATTTGACATGGATACAGTAAACATTCTCCTTTGGGTTACGCTAGAGTCATGATCTTGTTCCAGGTAGGGAAGGAAACTTGTCATAATTATAAACAAAAGTTCAGATCAGTATATAGACTTAAACATGGTTTCAGAACAGGACAGGATGTAAATGTCAATCTCGGTGATGTAAAAGTACAATAAATAAAAATAAAAAAAGGGGAGTACAGGGAAGGCTTGGGGTACTAATAACCTCTGTCTAAAGTTATAAAATCAATAGATGAACCAATAGTATTATACAACTAGCAAAATTTGAGGAAGGGTAAAGTAAAGGGAGTGATATAAGTGAGGTAAAGCCTCATCTGTCACAGTGGGGGTCAGTAGATAAGTCAGGCTAGTGGAAGGACTATAAGACTGGGTACTATGTAGAGTTAACCACCAGAAGAGCTGAAAACAAAAGCTATTTAAAAAGTGAGTGCCTTGGGACTGACCAATTAGCCTGATTGGTTAGAGTTCATTGTTAATAGTGTTGACCAAGGTCAAGTGATTGCCTTGAGCAAGAGAGTGAGCCGGGGAGGAAAAGGGTGGGACAGAGGATTGTTGCTTTTAATTATAAACCTTTCTGTACTATATTTTATTTTTTCCCCATATACATGTAGCATTTTAGTTAAAAATATATAAAGCAGGGCCGGCCCGTGGCTCACTCGGTAGAGTGCGGTGCTGATAACACCAAGGCCCCGGGTTCGGATCGTGGCTCACTCGGTAGAGTGCGGTGCTGATAACACCAAGGCCCCGGGTTCGGATCGTGGCTCACTCGGTAGAGTGCGGTGCTGATAACACCAAGGCCCCGGGTTCGGATCGTGGCTCACTCGGTAGAGTGCGGTGCTGATAACACCAAGGCCCCGGGTTCGGATCGTGGCTCACTCGGTAGAGTGCGGTGCTGATAACACCAAGGCCCCGGGTTCGGATCCCATATAGGGATGGCCGGTTCGCTCACTGGCTGAGTGTGGTGCTGACAACACCAAGTCAAGGGTTAAGATCCCCTTACCGGTCATCTTTAAAAAATATATATATATATGTGTGTGTATATATATATATATATATATATATATATATAAAGCAATTAATATGTTCATTTAAAAAAAATAATAGCCTAGATTGGAGTAGGAAGATGGTTTGCTATTTCTACATGATCACTCTACACTATGTAGAAAGCCAAAAACTACAAATAACTCCAGAAAAGACTGCTAATATTTTCATGTTTCCTCACAATTACATGTTTATCATAAAATATGTTTTTTTGTTTTTTTTTTTTTTTAAAGATGACCAGTGAGGGGATCTTAACCCTTTGGCTTGGTGTTGTCAGCACCACGCTCACCGAAGTGAGCCAACCAGCCATCCATATATAGGATCCAAACCCGTGGCCTTGGTGTTCTCAGCACCACACTCTCCCGAGTGAACCACAGGCCGGCCCTTAAAATATGTATAATTTATTATCATTTTTACATAATAAGATACAAGCATTTTCTTAATTTTTAATTCTTCTAATATATGATTTTAAGTAATTTATCGTTTATCATATTGATGAAATAAATGTATTTAAGCAGTTTTGTTTTAGGACATATTTTTCTGTTATAAATAGCCTTTTAAATAAACCTTAACTATATCTCTGATTCTACCTTTCATATAGATTCCTAGAAAGTTTACTAGATCTAAAAGTTTTCCGACACGTTGTTCAGTTTCTCATTAGTTGTTAAATGTTTGTAAGACAAATGTTTATGTTTCATCCAGCTTTCTAGTTATCCTCAGCGGAATGATTGGTCCACTCCACCCAGCCTATCATTACCAGAGCAGTAGTCCTGATTCTGCAGTGTGGTCTTCTAGGGATACAGATGTCGTAAAGAAAAAGAAAATTTATTAATAGTCAATTCTGTACCCCATAAATATGTATAATCAATCATGTCTCAATTAAAAAATTAAAATAAAAAAATTGAAAAAAAAGAAAATTTGAGTAATTAAGTATGTATGACCAGAAGCCATCTGAAATTTACAATAATGTAGTTATTTGTGAACTCTTAAAATAGAGCTAGAGCTTTACTTACAAAGTAACCCTTAATTCTGATTATCATCAGTGTCATAAGTCTTCTTAAGTAGATTGTTTTAATAAAATTGTGATGAAGACATTAGTAATTACAGCACCTTGGATATGAAACAGAGGATCCGGCCCACTATGGTGCTCTCAGCTAACAGGAGAAAGAGAGAAGTGTACATATCCCTGTTTGTGATTTGTATGGCCTTCATTAGTGAAAGTGACAAAAAGTATAGACTCAAATACTTGGATTATAAACCAGTAGCAGTTTCGATATCCAGGACTAGAGATAATGTTTATAAGACTGATTGCCAAAAATTTTTTGTAACTAGATCAGTAATGCACAGTTATCCTAATATAGCACAGTGATATGAAATTATTATAGTTTATAATATAACTTTTGCTCCAATGTAATTTTACAAGCTGTATATGCAATGTTTTTAAATGATAAGCTTAGTTTTGCTACTGTTTTTGGTCAACGTGTTATAAAAAAATGAGGAAAAGTACATACAACCATAGAAATTTTACAATTCTACTCAAATATTCTCATTTTATAGAATGAGTGTCTGTGCTGTGGGTTTTTCTGTGGAGTCCAGACGTGTCCATAATGATTTTTAAGCCTCTTCTGTTTGAAGGTGTTGATGCACCTACATTTACTCATCTAACTTCTTGTACCTTCTTATCAGGGAGTAAGAGTGCAAAGATTCAGTCGGGTATATTTGGAAAGGGATCTGCTTATTCACGACACAATGCTGAAAGACTTTTTAAAAAGCTGATACTTGACAAGATTTTGGATGAAGACTTATACATTAATGCCAATGACCAAGCAATCGCTTATGTGATGCCTGGAAATAAAGCCCGAACTGTACTAAATGGGCATTTGAAGGTATGGTAGGGTTTTTTGGGGTTTTTTTTGTTTTGTTTTGCAGCTGTATGGTACAGGTACACAAACTTTTGACCTTGGTGAAGGTAAAGTATTTTAAATGTTTATTTTATTTTATTATCTCACAATAAGAGGACCAGAATATATTACCACAAAGCGTAGTGTCTTTTCCAAAGCTTACCAACACTGAATTTATAATACACTGTCCTATATGAACATATTCTGTTCTTTTTTTTTTTAAAGATGACCGGTAAGGAGATCTTAACCCTTGACTTGGTATTGTAAGCACCACGCTCACTCAGTGAGCAAACCGGCCATCCCTATATGGGATCCAAACCCAGAGCCTTGGTGTTCTCAGCACCACACTCTCCCGAGTGAGCCATGGGCCGGCCTGAACATATTCTGTTCTTAATTTGGAAAGATATCTTAAAATTGAACCCAAATAATGTGATACCTGTCAAAATGAATTTAATGGGTTATCAGATCACTAAATCTTTATATATATTCATTAAATAAACATTTATCAGGGGGCTATTCTGTGCTGGGCACTGGAGATACAAAGCTGTAGAATGCACAGCCCCTGTTCCCAAGGGGCTCACTATCTACTTGGCAGAACAGAAATACAAAAAATGCAAGTAGGCATTAAATAAAGCCCCTGTTTGGGTACAAGTGTGCATATACCCTCTCCTATGGTTTCCTTCTCTCTCCCAAAGGTAGACTTTATGGAAACAGAAAATTCTAGCAATGTGAGAAAACAAAAAGCTTCAGTGACAAAAATATCTCAGAGGGAAGAGATGGTTAAGAAATGTCTTGGAGAACTTACAGAAGTCTGCAAATCTCTGGGGAAAGTTTTTGGTGTCCATTACTTCAATATTTTTAATACTGTCACTCTCAAGAAGCTTGCAGGTAGGTATGTGTATATCTTACATGGCACAAATTAATAGGTCAAAAGTTAATCTTGCTAAGGAACTTTTTAGTGATAAATTTATCTCAGTCTTTATTATTATTTTTATTCAATTTCTGGATTGAAAGCTCAGAGAAATGATTTAAAACTCATTCTTGAGATAAAATATAATTCTTTAAGATGTATATAGTACTTTGGTATTCAGAAATAGTATAATTTTAATTTTATACTTTTCTCTAAAGCTAGACGTTAGGGTATGATAATTGTAACCTCTAAAATGAGATGTGACTTAATTATTTGTGCTGGTTATTTGCCTGCCCTACAGTGTTTAGCTATGTCACATACAAATGTCTTTGCAACGTCCTTGTTGGTATAGTGGTGAGAATAAAAACAAGTCTTTGCAATTAAGAGCTAAGTTCCTGGGCCGGCCCGGTGGCGCACTGGATAGTGCGCCGCTTGGGAAGCGCGGCGGCACTCCCGCCCGAGGGTTCGGATCCCACATACAGACCGGTTCCCGCTCACTGGCTGAGCGAGGCACGGGGGCAACGCCGAGGGTTGCAGTCCCGTTGCCGGTCCCGGTCCGGTACGGGCGCGACACTGAGGGTTGCGATCCGTTGCCGGACATGGAAAAAGACAAAAAAAAAAAAAAAAGAGCTAAGTTCCTTATAAAAAGAGATTGTGTTTTATGCTTTGTATCCTGATATAGCACACTGGTCTTTAGTTAATAAATACTTTCTCATCTAAGTTATTTACATGGATTCAGATACTCAACCTAGAATTTCAGTAGTAATGTCCCTGGGAAATGAATGTTTACGTACTTGGCTGACTGGTATACATTACCTACCATGCTCTTTCTTTGTAAAATGTCGTAATTGTCATCCTCTCTCTTCTATTCCCATTCCTACCACCATAGGTCATTACAATATTTCATTGACTCTAAGATGCCATCTTTTTTAAGACACTGTTATTTTATGGACTATTAAGAAAGAAAAAATTCTGCTAATTAAACTATAACACAGTGCTTTTATTGAAATAATTATTTTTGACTTTTTATTTAGACATTGATTTTTATCATATACAACTCTGAGTATGTATGAAAAATACGTATAATCATAGTAAATTGATTTAAGTACTTGTAAACGTTCACATTCAAAGCCTAACTCTTCTGAATCATTTTTCAACTAAGTTGTCCATGTCTTTGTTATTCCTTATGTCATCACTAACATTCTCATTAGTCATACAGCATTTTTAGAGTGTTCCACTATTTTCCCCAGGATTTTAATTGAAACCTCTGTCACTCATTCTGTTTTGATGGTGGGGCTTTCTTGATGACACCAGAAGGTGTCAACAGAAGGTTGCACATCTCTCAGTAACAAAAATATAATACCACTTCATCTACTTAGGGCATATTCTTTTTAGGTCATATAAAGCACTTGGATGTTGCTTGCAAGAAACTGTGAAATTGTAGTCATCTCCTCAAAGACAAATAGTGCTTTATTAATGCAAAATGTATTCCCCATTACTCTGTTTTGGAGCCTTGGCATTCACAGTCACTTTTTTAATGCTAATCACAGTGTAGTCTTTTTGAAGACATTGCATGTGGCAATTAAACTCAATATGTGGAGTACCAATAATGCAGTGACTTTGTTGACATGCTGACAGTATTAATAGCTGCGACTAACATCTCACTTGCACAGGCAGTAACAACCTCAGGATAGCTGCCATTTGGCCATCAGAAGTTGTAAGACAGATGTTGACTTCAGGAATGCTAAAATGTGAAAAAGTGTGTGTTGTAGAATCGAAGAAATATGGTATTTTACCCCTATGCTTTTAGTGTTGTTTCCTAAGTGGCCTCCTTACCTGGTGACCATGATATAGATTTTAATCTTTCAAAAACTACTGAAACTACAATAGCTCTCTAGATAAGGTACAAATTCTATCCAAGGGTCTGCATTTCTACTTGTGTCTCCCACTTTATCTTCCACCATTCCCTTCATAAACCTTCTGTTCTGTCCCATAGTCTTTTGCTTTTCCTGTAAACATGGAAATGATGTGAAAATCAGATTGTAAAGGATTTGAAATCTACCCTTTGCTCAAGTCTAGAACAGTACATAGGATTTTTTTTTTTTTTTTTTTGCGGCTGGCTGGTATGAGGATCCAAACCCTTGACCATGTGTTACCAATACCATGCTCTAACCAAGTGAGTTAGCTGGCCACCTCAGCATAGGATTTTTTACTCCCCATAGCCAATGCATCAATAAATCATTCCTATAGACCCAGCCTCCAGAATGTATCCAAATCTCTCTCCTGTCCATCTCTACTACTACATTCTAGTTCGCTCCATCCCCTCTTGCTCCTTCAGTAGCTTCCACGAGGCTCCCAGTTTCCACTCTTTGTCTTACAGTTCATTTTCCATACAGCAGCCAGAGTGACCTTTTCTTTTTTTTAGACAGTCTTGTCTAGCTACGAGACCGACGTGCCATCTTTATATAGAGGGCTTCTTACTGCCTGCTTGTTGCTTCACCCATGTGGGGAGAGACGAGGCAAAAGTTTGGGCTGGGGAAAGTAACAATTCGGTTATGCCTTTGTGGGTGGGGTGTACAAGCCTTGAGTGCAGGAAAGAAGTCAGAGCTGGAAATGGAAATGTGGGCAGTCTCAGCAAATAGAGGGCACGTCAGTCTTGCAGCTAGACAAGTCTTGGGAATGGGAACAGTAGGCAAGAGCAGTGCCTGCTGAAATTCTGAGCACATTGCTCAGGTCCCACCCTCTGGCTTCCCCCAAGACCATGGTTCTTTCCCACTTGCTACCCTGGCTTGTATGCTTTTGCTGCTGGAATTGGATGATGGCTCTTGCCCTCTGGTCCTGGCTGCTGCCTCTAAAGGTGCTAACTTTCCTTCTATAAAATTGGTCCATGTGCCCAGCGCTCTGCAGTTAGTTGGCACTTAACAGACATGTGCTGAATGAGTGAATGAGCATGAATTCAGTGGGTTTTCTGTGGGTGGTAATTTAAATTCCTAATTTTATGTCCATGCACAGAATCTTTATCTTCCGATCCTGAGGTTTTGCTTCAAATTGATGGTGTGACTGAAGACAAACTGGAAAAATATGGTGCAGAAGTGATTGCAATATTACAGAAATACTCTGAGTGGACATTGCCAGGTCAGTATACTGCCAAATGTGTGTTTTCAAAAACCAAGTGATGCATATCACTGGATTAGAATGATGTGGGTTCCAGGTTGTGTGAATGCTTCCTACACCTTATCACACTGCAGTTCAAGTCTTCAGGGTAGTCCCTATTGGTGTGCCAGACACCTGACAGGACACTAGTGCTTAGGCCCCCAGGGGGTGCCAGTTACTGAGCCTACTAATAGGACCCGAACCTCTAGGCCCAGTGGTTGTTTGTTCTGATACAGCAAGTGAGTGAGGAATCAGGAGCTCTGGGTGCCAGTTCCAGATCTGCCACCATATCCCTCTGCGTGATCTTTGGCAGGCCACCAATAACCTCTTTGTGCTTCAGTTTCCTTAGCTGAGGAAGGAATATGTTATCTGACAAGCATGTCTAAAGATAAAAGTTAGGAGTAGAGTATAAATGTTTTGGAAAAATGATTGTGTAATTGGAATGCTGTTGTTAGTAGTCATTGAAGGAACCTGCCTGAGTGAGTGCATCGTTAACGGACATTCCTGAAGGTCACATTAGGCCTGTCCTGTAGCACTTCTCTAATAAGTAGCCTGCTCATTATTAGAGTTACAGAAAGCATTGACTAAGGGAAAATTAAGAATAGAGAAATGTTTTGTTGAAGAAGATGTTGAGAGTGCGGAAGTCTTCTGCCCTCCACTCACGTATTGCACAATGAGACAACAGGCAAGCCAAGGTCGGTGTTTCTCCTGTCTCTGTAACAGGTCAGGATGGGTTTCTTTCCAAGGTGAGCAGGATGAGAGAGGAGAGAGCACAGGTTCTCTTTCTCTCCATAACTACTTTTTACCCTTTAAGAAAATGCTAAAAAGTAGGGTTTTCATAAATTCTTCTCTGTGGAATTTTCATTAAGAGCCTTGCTCTGAATATATTCAACAGTCTTTTGGTAGGAACTAAACATTTGTTTGGTATAGTGACATGTTTGGAAGGGGCTTTTTCCAACAGTGTGGGAAAAATCACTCCAACTCACTGAGGATTGTGTGTGCAGACACTGTGCCAAGACTTTGCCCAGGCTATGTCATTTAATCCTCACAACACCCATTTTACAGGCGAGGAAAGAGTGAGTAAGGCTTTTTCATTTTCCCAGAGTCACGCAGCTAGCATAACAGAGCTCCTCACTTCTGAACTGCACTCCCTCCCCGTGTGAACCAAGGTTAGACCACGCCACGGGGGAATCCCGTGCCCTTCATGCCATTCCTGCCAGGCAGTAGGGTGGCCTGTAGGGCGAACCAGACCAGCCGGGAAATGGAGATGGGATCACTGTGTCACTGACCTATGGGGAGGTTTTGTGCTTTTTGGGTGCCTTGGGATACAAATACCTATGGAAATTACCATCTTCTTTGCAAATGTGTGCTTTCACAGAGACCCATTTCTTACATAATATGTGAAATGTTCACAAAGATTATGCAAAAGTTTTTTTTACTTGTGAAGAGTAAAATATGGTCTAGAATTTTCTGACGCTCATTTACTAAGAAACTATTTTTCAAAGATTGGGTATAGAACATAGTTTATGTTTCCCTTATATTGGGTGTTTTTTTCCAGCACTTTTAAGATGATAAGTAAAACTGCCTAACATGTATATAGCACTTTATACTTTGCTCACCAGGATTCACTGCCCGATCAATGACAGGGATGCAGGCCACACATACACAGCAGAGGGTGAGCTGAACTTGGTGTCCATAGTTCACTTAAAGACTATCACAAATTTTTAAAACTGAATTCTGATTCCCTTTGCTAAAAATGAATTGCCGTTGAGCACTTAGGGGCTTTGTGAAATAAAAAAGAAATGTTTGGTTCTTGGTGCATTGTTGAATCCATTTGGCAGAAAGGCACGAGGAAAGCAGCTAGTGATCTGCTGAACTGGGCCCCTGTGATGTGTATCTTCATCTGGACTAAAACACTTGGACCAGCATGGGATCACCTGTGAACATCTGCATTTTCCATTTGTAGCCCAGGACGATTCCCCACGGTTATCTGTGTCCAGCAACAGAGGCTCCGGAAGAAATGCCCTTGAGGAGCTTGATGAGGAAACACCCGTCTCTTCTCACTACTTTGCAAATAAAACCAGAAATGAAAGAAAGAGGAAAAATATGCCAGCCTTCCGAAGATCTAAGAGGAGAAAAACTGGTGGTTCTAAGGCAAAGGGGTACGTTCTGTGACATCTTTTGCAAAACATAGGGTAAAAGAGAGGAAAGGACAAAACTATACAAGGGCACTTCAAAAAGTTTGTGAAAAAACAGAATCAAAAGATAATATGCATCTTTTTTTTTTTGATAATATGCATCTTTTCATGAACTTTTTGATGTACCCTCATAACTCCTGTGGTTTGCTTTGAAGCACTTATTAAAATAAGCCATTATTAAATATTGCCTCTGCAGTTAATGGAGTGATGATTAAGGCTTGATCTAAAACAAAAAACATTTGCTTCAGATTTTTAAAATATCAGCTTCCAACTAAGTTGATTATGACTAAAGTTTTCTAGTTTGCAAAAACTTCTCTAATTTTGACCTTACCTTAGAAATGTTTTTGTTTGCTTTGGATAATTGCTCTTAAGAGACTTTTCCACCTAAAATACTATCAATCATACACTACTTGAATAAACGACGAAGGGTTTTGTGTCCTCGAGGCTTTTATGACTCTGCCAGTACTTGCTACGCTGCTTTTATAGCTGCGGGATTCTGTGAGCCTCCACCTTGAGACACATGCACACTCCCTGCCGTTCATTAGTGTCTGGGAGAATCAACCTCCCAACCTCTGCAGGGGTAGCAGAGAAAAGCCACAACACAAAAACTAAAGGGTCAGTCAAGCCAGGACTCTTTAGTGGCTGCATAAATGGCTTCTGTCTTCCCTTTCCTGCGTGGGCCTGGCTCTCTGGGCTGGGACATGTCTGCTCTGGGGCACTTGCTGCACACCAAGGGAAGAACAAAGATAGCATCACAGATCTGTGTGATGATCTTGGCAGCACTCTTATTTCTTCATAATTGCACTGTTCCTGACAGCTTCTTTTTCCTGTCTTCTGCCAGGGCACCCTCTGCCTTCTGCCTTATAACTGAGGTCTGGCAGAATAAAGATTACCCCACCAATCTGGAGAATGTGGCCCCAAACTAACTGCATATTGTAACAGAATTGCTTACAAAAAAAGGGAGGCAATTCCACAGTAAACTTTTGCAAGCTGTTGTGTTTTCTCTTGCAGTTTTTCTACTTCTTTTCCTTTTGGGTAATAAAAAGCAAAAATTGAGTGGGGGGAGAGAAAGGAAGGCAAATGTTACTACATTGTCATTTTTCTGTTAAGTCCACAAACAAACATCTTGTATGTGCTAATCCTTCTGCCAGAGTACAAAAATTAAAGGCATTAGTGAATGCTAGTTTAATTTTGTGGTTTTTAGTTCGCAAGTGACCAACAGTTATTCTTCAGGGAGGACATTTTCTTATTTCCTTCATTTATTCGTCAACTTTGGGAAATACTTATTTCCTCAGTGGCTCACACAAAAACAGGAGGAAGCTGAGGCTTGGGGAGAGCTAGTCTGAGCCATCCCACCCTGGTCTCAATTTCAGAGGTGGACACTGGCTTGTCCACACTTGCCCAGGGCACTTTTATTTCTTTTTTCTTTTTTTTTTTTTTAAAAAAAGATGACCGGTAAGGGGATCTTAACCCTTGACTTGGTGTTGTCAGCACCACGCTCAGCCAGTGAGCGAACCGGCCATCCCTATGTGGGATCCGAACCCGGGGCCTTGGTGTTATCAGCACCGCACTCTACCGAGTGAGCCACGGGCCGGCCCAGGGCACTTTTATTTCTGCAAGTCATCTGTGGAGGTTTCCTTAAAACGTGTGTTGGGAAAATAGAGTAGTTTGGTCAGGGCCCTCGCCTCAGATCCATTTGGATGTGGTTTTAGCACATCCTTTGTAAGCAAATTGTGTGTGTGTGTGCGTGTGTGTAGTTAGTGTGCGTGCACGCCAATGTGTCTTTTTAGTTTTGTTGCTATTCTTGTTTTCTTCAGAGAAGGAGTTTAGTGAAGCAGGCGGGCAGGCATCTGCCTAGGGCATCCACCTGGCGCAGGCAAGCTTTCCAACCTACAGCTTCCAAAGACCTTTTGGCCAGTTACCTAGCTCATAGACCTGCGTGAAGGGGTCTGGTGACCCAGCCTGGCATGTGAAGGGTTTGTGACCCAGTCTGTGAACGAGCTTGAGGGGTCTGGGAGCTCCAGACCCAGCCTTAGCTCAACAATCAGCCCAGTTAGTGCAGGATTACCAGCAGGTAAAAGAGCCCAACAACTGGCATGGTCTAGTAGCTTTATAATTGGCGTCATGAACAGGATTAAGAGCTAGACAATTGGCACTGAGAGCAGGATTCTGACATTTGCCGTAGTGCCACAATGTGCATGATCTATCTTTTTGCTTGTTGGAACAAAGCAAACCATATTTCAGTGTTTGTTGCTTTGGCTCCCTTACATAATTTTCACTACTTTTGTTTATAAGAGTGAAGCACTTTGCTGTATCACCTAGAACCTAATCTAATAAGAAGTAGTAAAACACACTTGTCCAGAAGCCAGTACCAGTTTTGATGCTAGTTTTTAATTAGCCTGAGCATTTAAGATGCGGTGCTTCTGTAGTCCCTCCTGGCTAAGCCCAGCAAGTTTAGTAACTTTCTTCACCCTTAGAGTAGCCTCTGGGTCTGTACTCCATCCTCATTTCCACTGACCCACTCTGGAAGGTAGTTTCCCAGTTTCCAGTCTGCTCACCTGGGTGAGAGTCCCTGGGAAAGGAAAGAATAAATGTGGCTTTTTGCCAGAGACCTTCACTCTCCACCCCACCCTCAGAGCTTTACATCTTCAGAATAATACACAATGAACCAGTTGTGTTCTGGGCTCTCTGAGTGGGAGTAAAATGAATGGCCCTGGTGAGATGGAGGCTGCTGTTGGCAGATTCATTCTGTAAATCAACATAAACAGCAGGTTTTTGCTCGGGGCTTAATTTCTCAGCAGGAAATCAGCATAGGGAAACTTCAGTCTGCTTCTCTGACGGTTTAGCAGATCTTTGCCAGTTCTGCAGTAAAATTGCCCCGGAGCAAGAGCTTAAAAATGTTGAAAAACCACTCTTCACCCAGCCCCCCCAGAATGCCATTACCCACGGGCTGTGGTTCTGATACCCTGGACCCTAAATTCAGAGATGGGAGGCTACTTGCGTGCCCTGGTGCTATGGAATTAACCTTGGGAATGACTTTGGCCCTGTTACAAAGCAGCAGGAGAGGCTTCAGTAGGTAATGCTGCCTGCTGTCATCACTGTAAGCATGCTGGCTTTGTGGGGTTTTTTGGTTTTCTTGATTTTTGTGGGGAGCTGTCTCTTGTCTTTGGGTCTGTAAGGAAAGTGAGATGCTGGAAGGACTTTTTAATAGGCTGTGGCTGGGGCGTCTTCCCTGACTTTAAAAGGCAGTGAGTGGGAGGGGAGAGCCAGCAGGTCTTCGACATGGCCAGCAGCATCTGCAGTCTACCCCATCTCCACTCACCATAAAACTGCCTTGCTACAGGCTGGGCAGGCACAGTAATTCCATGGTATCTGTTGGCCAGGGATTTGGAGCCCTAAAGCAAGGTATTTCCACGTCCTTCATTTGGTTGAAATAGGTTGGGGTATGTGAATCTCAGCTCTGTTTTCTGCAGGGAGGGGCTCCAATTGTAGGCTCTGGGCATGGTTGGAGGAGAGTGGGCCCTGGGTCGGTCACAAGTCACAGAATTCAGAAACAATCCTTGACATTTTAGAATGACAGATTCAGGACAGCAGTTCATTATTCCTTTAGTAGTAAAGGAAACTCCTTACCCAGGGGGTTTATAGGCAGAAAATGCACAAAAGACACATGAGACCAAGGAAATTCATGGATTGTAGCTCTGTGGAAGTTAAGAGAAAAAAGATCGTTCACTTCTGTTTATATTTAACATTTTAATTTTCTTTTCTTTTTCACATTTTAGGGGGTCCACCACATGCAGAAAAATGTCTTCTAAAACTAAATCCTCCAGCATAATTGGATCCAGTTCCTCTTTCAGTGATTCTCAAGCAACACCAGGAGCCAGTAGAAGATTGGGGATTATGGCTCCACCAAAGCCTATAAATAGACCGTTTCTTAAGCCTTCGTATGCATTTTCATAACAACCAGATCTCAGCATACACAGATCTTTCCTTCTTGTCAGCATCTGACCATCTGTGAATGTAAAGCTGTTAGTCTTGCTATACCCCTTGAAATTTTTACTTGTATCTATTAATATTTAAATAAATGCATGAGGGTGATAGTTCTTATTTTTAAAATAAACATTTTCTTTTGAATAAGCGTGTTTTGATGCCACTGCAAGTGTTGTGGCCGTTGTTTCTCAGAATGTCTGAAGCAGCAGCTGAATCATCTCAGTGAGAGAAATTCTATGCATAACATGAGACCCAGAAGCCAAAGGAAAAGACACACATGGGACACTGTGAAACTGTAAAACTTTTTGTGTAAGACAACAGGAACAAAATTAAAAGAAAAATGACAGAAAATTGGGCCGGCCCGGTGGCGCACTGGATAGTGCGCTGCTTGGGAAGCGCAGCGGCGCTCCCGTCCGAGGGTTCGGATCCGCATACAGACCGGTTCCCGCTCACTGGCTGAGCGAGGCGCGGGAGCAACACCGAGGTTTGCAATCCCGTTGCCGGTCCCTGGTCCGGTACGGGGGCAACACTGAGGGTTGCGATCCGTTGCCGGACACGGAAAAAAGACAAAAGACAAAAAAAAAAAAAAAATGTATTATGAAGGATTAATGTCTGTAATATACGGAGTAGACAAATGAACAAAGGATGTAAACAGGTGGTCTCAGAGGAAGAGACGCAGACGGCCCACACGGGCTGGCCGGTTAGCTCAGTTGGTTAGAGTGCAGCCTTGTAACAAATGGCCCAGAAATGTGTGGAAAATGCTCGTTCTCTCTAATTAAAAATAGAAATTGAAACCATGAGATGCCAGTCTTTTGCATATTAAATTGTTAACACTGAGTAATATTCCAATATCTGGTCAACAAGAGAATGGTCAAACAGATTCTGTGGAGAGAATGTATTAATTCTTGATGTAGTCCTTTAGTATTAGGGTGGCCTTATTTTTTTTTTTTTTTTTTTTTTGACCGGTAAGGGGATCGCAACCCTCGGCATGGTGTGGTCCGCACCACGCTCAGCCAATGAGCGCACCGGCCATCCCTATATAGGATCCGAACCCACGGCCTCGGTGCTCCCAGCACCACACTCTCCTGAGTGGGCCACGGGGCCGGCCCAAGGGTGGTCTTATTTTTGAAGATCCTCCATGATAGGCTGGTTGGTCAGAAAAACTCCTTCCAGCAGCTCAGCCTCCTGGGAATTCGGCCTGCATCTACACAAGACAACCCAGGAGGGCAGAAGCAGGTGAACTTACCCTGAATCAAAGCCAAAGACAGATGTGGTGACAGCAAAGCTGCTCTGGGCTGTGTCCCCCATCAGGGCCCTCCGTGAGCACAGAAGTCCCCACCACCTGGGTAGGAGATGGGACAACCCCACCAGGGAGTTCTAGCCCGGGGTCTGTCACTGCCCACCTCCATAGGTACAGGAAGGCCCAACTCTCCCACCGTCGCCATCCCCTCTGGAGGGCACAGGACAGATTGGAATCTGATTGTCCAGCGGTATACACGCCCTCCCCAGGCCCTCACACCCTGGAGAGCTGACAGGTCCTTGCTCACCTCCAGGGGCAGGGAACCCGCTACCTATCAGGAAGAGAACAAACATCAAGAGCCCACTCGGTGCCAAGAACTTAACATAATTCACTTTTAATCCCAATGGCCTGGGAAACAGGCACATGATATTAACCTTTTCTGTGCAGAAGCCAGAATTCAGAGAGCTTATGTAACTTGCCTAAATCCACGCAGCTAGGAAGTGGTAGTAAATAGGGTAACACTTTCCAGTTTGCCCTGAAGACACCCAGTTTACAAATGTCCTTGTGTGATAATTAACACAGCTCTCTTTCATTCTAAAAAGTGCTCCAATTTGGACAATAAATTATGTGGAATTGAGGTCTGTGCTCTCAAGAATCTGTGCTCTTTCCATGGACAATCCACCATCTCCCAGCCCATTGTTGCATCAAAAGTCTCAGGGGCCACCTGCTATCATCCTGCTACAGTCTCCAGGGACAGAGGCTGCAGAATTATCAGCGAGCACAGCTGAGCTGCAGTTTTTCTCTAGAAGAGGAAGCGGAGGCTGTGGTCCAGGCCCCTTGCTCTTCTTGAGAAACAGCTTCCTCTCCCCATCTTACAGTCTGGAGTTGCTCCAAGCCCTCAAGGCCCGCCCTGTCCTTGGGAGGTTCCCAGAGTCCCAGCTCTGGCTCTTTCTCTAGCTCTGAGCAGCTGCCTGGGTGGGGGAGCAGGCAGGCAGCAGCCATGGACCTTACCCAGCCCTGGGCTCCTACCCTGGCAGAGGCCTCTGGGCGGAGAAACAATGGCCTATGGGTCCTCTGTAGTGGCTCGAGTGGGATCCCTAAGTGGCTCCAGCAGCTTCTCCCTCAGCGTAGCTGCCACATCCCCTGTACGGCCTCCTTGCAGCCAGGGTTAGGAACAGCAGGCTGGTGGGGTGCACCAGGGGACCCCAGCCCTGCCCAAACCCTGCGAGGTGCTCCAGTCTGTGAACTCAGTTCCTGGTTGCTGAGTCGGGGCTCAACTTCTGCAGCTGTACAGGGCAGTCCCAAAGCTGCAAGGACTGGCACCTTTGGCCTTCAGAAAACTGCTTTCTGAAAAGCACTCACTCTCCTCTTCTTCCCAACCCCAGAAAGGCTTTCCTCAGCCAGACCCGCATTCCCCGCTGGCAGGAGCAGAAAGAGGGAGGCAGAAAGCCCCACAGTGGTTGGGGTGGGCTGCGGGTCCTTTTCTGGTCACTGCTGGGAAGACAGAGGCCAGGACAAGAGGGTAGACAGGAACCGGAACTTGAGTCCGCAGTGCCCCATGTAGGTCAAGGGACCCCTGAGCAGGGCCTGAAGCTGGCTTCCTGCGGCCAGCCAGGTGTGAAGGACAGGGCCTTGTTATCACAGCTCCACTGCATGGTTCCACGACTCCACAGAGGGTTCGGTGACCATTGGGAGGGTGCCAGGATGGCACTCACAGCCCCTATACTTAGGTCTACTCAGGATGTGGGAGTCACCCCAGAGTGCCTCTGTCCCCTTGGGTCCCACACAGGGCCCATCACACACGCCACAGGCGTCAGCCTGTCCTGGCTGCATCTACTCAGTCCCTGCCAGGAGCCACCAGGCCTGGTGAAGGGCAGGCCTTGGCCCTCCTCCCAGGCCTGGCGTGGAGCAGAGCACGCAAGTGGGGCAGAACCCGAGCGGTGACCCTTGGCGTGGGAGGCAAGGGTGGTGCACTGGGAACTCCTGACCCAGGGGCTGCTCACTGCGTTTGAGAAGGGTCTGAAGAGCCTCTATTAACAGAGTGTCAAATCCCAGCCCGGAAGGACACCGAGAAGCACAGAAACTTATGGCCAGAGTCCTGCTCAGCCCCACACCCTTGGGCCTCTTCCCCCCAGGAGGGCCTTGAGCCTGCCATGACTCAGGGAGGCAGGAACCCGGCTAACCTCAAAGATGAGCCTCAGTGTCTGTGGCAGCCTTGGTAAACAGCTGGAGGTTACAGTCAGCACCAGAGAGAAGTCTGCCCCTGCAAGCCCCAGTAGAGACACCTCTCCTGCATGGCTCTATGTGCACAAGGTCGGGGACCTGGATGTCCATCTTCACTTTGTGGCCAGCTGAGGGCCAGCGCAGAGTCAGCATGACCCTGCCCCTTCCTCAGCAGCCGAGCAGCCTCTCTGAGCCTCAGTGTCTCATCTGCATGATAAACATAACACCTGATCCCTGCCTCTCAAGGCAGTCGTAGGCATCCTTTCAGTCAGATATTCTACGTTGGTCAGAGCACAGAGCTCCAAGAATTGCCCTGGCCCTCGGCAAGGTCACAGGCAGTGAGGGAAAGCACCCTTGGAGAAGAAGGAGGACAGAAACAGTGTTGGAGTGTGAGGGGATGGGGGGGGGGCAGCAACACCGCCCCAGGGCCTCCCAGGCTGGCTGGGGAGGACCCAGGCCTGGGGGAGGGTGCACAGGAGGCTAGAGCACAGAAGGGACACAGAGCCCACCAGCCAGGAGCCCACTTCCTGAGCACATAGCAACCCTTCCCAGCTCAGCCACCCTCCTCACTTTAAGGAGGCGAATGCCCTGGTCTGGGTCACCTGCCTGGGTGACCACCAGGGGAGCAAGGCAGGGCCTCCAGCCCAGGGAAAGGGTGCTAACAGGGAGGTGGAACCAAGACCACCTGTGAGACCCCTCACCCCACAGGTCCTGCCATTCCCTCCATAGTCCTCAGCTTAGGTCTATACCTTTGCGCCAGATCTGGGTCCTGGCCTGGGGGACCTGGCACACAGCGGGTGCCTAATAATGGATTGTTGCATGGATGGGTGGATGGATGGATGGATGAGTGGGTGAAGGGGGCTGCTGTGAAGGTATCTGCCCAGACTACCCTCCTATGGGAGGATAGAATAGGAGGATGGGGACAGGGGCTTCTGGTCCCCTAGACCTTAGACTCCTCCGGCCTGACTGGCCATGTCAGGCCTGTGGGGGACAGTGACACAGGTCATGGAAGGCTTCCTCCCTCACCACTTCTGCTGGCTTCACCAAGACAAGTGAAGTTGCAGTTGGCCTGAGTGTTCACTTAGATTTTCTTTTTTTGTGTGCATTGATATTTTTGGCTAGTTGGTGTTTTATTTGTTTTTAAATAGCAAGCCAGCTCCCCCATTTATTGATTTGAAGCTCTATGGTGTATCATGTGCTAAGAGTTTTACAATCACCAGCACCTGCTGTCAGCTCCCTTTTCTGTCCTATGCATCTGGACTCACTTGCATGTGGGGAAGGCTTTTATGAGGAGCAAGAGGCATGCAGGGATTGGGAGTTTAAAGTCACTAGATCCTACTTGTGCAGGCTTCAACCCAGCTGAGAGGGCAGGGTCCTAGGGCAGTGGTTCTCAAACTTGCTTTAGCACCAGTCACCTGGAGGGCTGGTTAAAACACAGTTTCTGATTCTGGAGTCTAAGGTGAGGCCTGGGGGGTCTGCATTTCTGACAAGCTTCCTCATGGTGCTGATGTTGCTGGTCCCAGGGCCATATTTTGGGAACCACTGCCCTCAGGCAGAGGAAAGGATACCAGGGGTCAGTCCTCAGGGTGAATACAAATCTCAGCTGCTGGTAATTTTAGCTTTGTGGCTGTGATCAAGGCATTCTCCTTTCATCCTGGGTTTCCCATCTGTAAAAATGGGAGTGTGCAACTCCACAATGTCTATTACCACCATCATCAACACGGGACAAGCCTGTAAAGCAAGGTGGGCTGGGACCCCTCGGAGGGTGTTAAGAATGTGGAGCAGAACAGTGGAACAGCCTTGCACAGGGCGGGGGCGTGGGGGGTAGCCATTTCAGGAAAGGGACTTGTCTTAGGAGAGAGCCAGGTCTCTAAAGTCCCTCCCAGCACCAAAGTCTATCTTCAAGAGAGGCTCAGAACTTAGAGACTCAGCAACAGGGAAGCAAGCAGCAGAAACACCATTCCCAGAAGGCATTTTGCAAAGTGTACTGGAGGCAAAGGAAACTTCCTTAAAAATGGTGGAAATGAGCGTAAGCTGACATTTCCCAGGCCTTGCTGGCCTGTGGGGTCAAATGAGGTCACATTACCACCCAAATCTGCCTGACATCAGAGTTCTGTCTCCCTCTGGGGCCAGGCAAATGCCACTTCATGATACGGTCTGTTGAGGACTCCTAGACAGGAGCCTTTGGCACCAATGTGATGGAATCTTTCTAGAAAAATGGGATTTCTTTCTTTTTTTTTTTTTCAAAGATGACCAGTAAGGGGATCTTGACTCTTTACTTGGTGTTGTCAGCACCACACTCTCCCAAGTGAGCCAACCGGCCATCCCTATGTGGGA